TTAAGATTTCATCTAAGTAAATCATTATTTACAGATTATTAATATTTCAATTTATTTTATTTTAATTTTTTTATGATATTCATTTTTTTTTTTAATATATCATGAATAAGATTTCATATGTAAAGGGTATATTGTATATTGTATTTAATATTTAGGGCGTTGTTAGATCATACAAATCCCTGATTAAGCAATTAAAATATGCAGATGTGCAGGTGAAGTAATAAAATAAAATGATTTGCAGTAGGTATGCATGTGTTAATCTTGATAGATGACTAGATGATGTTCCGAATATGTTATTTATAATTAATTGTAATTTTTAAATGGGTGAGGATGCTGTGTCGGATCCAGAACTTTTCATAAGGGGGGCCCGCTGACTGACCTAAGGGGGGCCCACTCCAGTCATGCTTCAGTGATTCCCTATATAATCCACCAAATTTTTCCCTCAAAAGGGGGGGCCCAGGGCCCCCCTGGATCTGCCTATGGGATGGGAAATACAAATTAGTGTGAATTTTATTTCTTTTAGCATTATACATAGTGCCTGCATTGCAAACTTGTATTCAGAATAATGAAATAGGGAACTTTCCAAAAATAGAAATTGAGTCTGTTAGTCGCTTTGGAAAGTTGTGTTTGTTAGTCATATTATTTTGTCATAAATTTCTTTATAACGCTGCTGCTAAATGTTTTTGAAAACTATGAAAGGATTGAATTCGCAAATGAAAAAAAAAATATAAAGCCACTGTTCTAAAGCTCAACAAGCCCTTTTAAAAGTATAAATGTGAGCCATTTTCATCACTTAGATTGAATGATCCGAGGACACAGTTATCATCCTAAGATTTTCGTTGTCTACAAATATAGTCCCTAGTGTGGAAAGTGTATAACTTGCAATTTTTTTCATACACTTTCAAGATTTATTTCTTTATATTTTATGCATGAAATATTAAGTAAGGGGATGAAAATACATGTTAAAAAACTTGGGTGCTGAATCTTTATGTTAAGTAGTGATTTGGTCCAGTTAAAAAAGGTCAAAAGCTAGTCTGTCTGAAGCTGTCAAACTGAATTTTAGACCCCCTTAACATAGAATTGTCAATATTTTGAGTTAGAGCTGGTATACTTTTCTATAATTTTGATTTTGTTTGTCCCAATAGTAGTACACTACACTGAAAAAACATTTTTGAGATAGAGCAGGTTTGATTTTTTAAATTTTACTTTATTGTCAAAAAGAAATGCACTATGAAATAACTCATAGTGTTCTTGAATTCAGGAAATGTAATTCTGTACTTTGGCAATGTCCCTGAATGGTTTGCTGGTTTCAATTTGTCAAACTCAATAAAATTAAAGGATTTACATCTTTATTTGAAAGAAATTCTGTTAAAATGTCCCATTTTGACATTATACGGCTAAAATAAGCATTCTAAAGCAGTTTCCATTTTTATGCCTAAGAGGCATGCTGAATTTCTATCTGACAGCTTTTTATGCTTTGATATTTGTGTTTCTATGATTAATTCAAATTCTATTAACCATTTGTGAACTCTGAATATAGAGAAAAGTAGATTATCACAGAAAAAAATGTGCAAAATGTGTTTTATTTAGGCCCTGGTCGAACGGCCTGTTTAATGTATGTGAAATGTGAAGAGCTTTGTATATAAAATGTGTCGTCCATCATAAATTTTTCACTAAATCTGTAAAAACAGCACTTGACAATGATCTGTGCACCTTATCCATTTCATATACTACCTTTATTTTCTTCTATAGGATAGTATGTGGTTCAAATATATGCCAGTTGAGACTAAAACTACATGCAAGTTTTCCATTGAAAAGTGAAAAAACTGTGAATCAGACCATACTGTCTGCAAAAAAATTTGAATGCAAGAGTCCTTTTGCAATTAGACTTCTTGTATCACGACATCTTAGCATAGAAATGAGCAAAAAGTAACAAATTTCCATTTCTTATAGCTTCTGTATGCATTTTTATATGTAAATATGTGCTACAGCTTAAATTGACTCTAAATAATGTTCAGTCTTACATAGCCTAAGACCATTTTATACTCATTTGGTATGCTTTTTGTAACTTTTCTTTCCATTTAAAGTACATTTAATATATATGTGGAAGAATAATTTATGGTAAAAAAACTTCAAAAACTTCAAATTGGTTGAAAAAAATGCAGGTTTATGTATTAAGGCTCCCCTTAATCATGTTAATTCAAAAATCTCTATTTTCAGGCACAGGCTCATATAAATTCGACTTTTGAATAGTTGTAATAAATCTGATAAATCAAATGAGTGTTCAGTTGCTTTTAATACTTAATATATTATATTTAAGAGCATTTAAAAAGCAAATTTTTGCAATATTTAAATTTTTTAAGCCCAAATCTTGATAGTTGAAATTATTTGATTTAAACGTCAAAATTAAACATTCAAATTTCAATATTAAAATGGCCATAGTTTCTTTAATGTATATCCCATGGCCATGAAACTTGGCCAACTATCTTATAATTCCCTAAGCTTAGGTCATGCAAAGTTTTATTAGAATTGGTCAAGTCTTTCTATACTATTAGGTCCGAGGACACGGTTATCATCCTTAGATTTTCATTGTCTACAAATATAGTCCCTAGTGTGGACAGTGTATAACTTGCAATTTTTTTCATACACTTTCCAGATTTATTTCTTTATATTTTATGCATGAAATATTAAGTAAGGGAATGAAATTACATGTTAAAAAAATTTGGGTGCTGAATCTTTATGTTAAGTAGTGATTTGGTCCAGTTAAAAAAGGTCAAAAACTAGTATGTCTGAAGCTGTTAAACTGAATTTTAGACCCCCTTAACATAGAATTGTCAATATTTTGAGTTCGAGCTGGTAGACTTTTCTATAATTTTGATTATATTTGTCCCAATAGTAGTACACTACACTGTAAAAATCTTTTTGAGATAGAGCAGGTGTGATTTTTTAAATTTTACTTTATTGTCAAAAAGAAATGCACTACGAAATAACTGTTCTCTGGCCGAATCTTTCATCAAACTTCTTACTATGTCTACCACAATACTATTTTCACTGGTACTCTTTCATATATATATATATAGAAAAAAAAAGGGATATGGGGTATCCATCCATGACACAAAATCAGTTCATGCACAGCTAAAAAAACACAAACAGCAAAGGAACAGTGCTTTTATTGCTGTTCTTCAACTCAAATTCACAGTGAGGCCTTAAACGCGTAACAAAAAAACTCTCACCTCACTGCAAGTTTAAGACGGCCCCAAATACCGGATTGAGTGGAATTCTTTGCAAAAATAATTTGAATAGACTTTGTAAGATGTTACACCACCTAATCAGGCCCGGTCAAAAAAGAACATACTGGAAAGTAGTACATATTTAAAACAAAATAGTTCCTACGCATAAGGTTAAATCTTAAACTATGTAGCATATATTTTAGTAATTAAGGTATCAGATGAAAGGTGAAGTAATGAACAGCAACATACTTGATTGATAACTTACAGAGGTGAGATGTTGTGGTCCCATCATGCTGTGCTCAGCCTAGGCTTTATGTTTATTTTTTATAATTATTTAGGGGGAGGCCTTCTTTAAGTTAGCCGTTTGTGAAAAGAAAAATTGTACCTTAGGTTTTTATGTATTTAAATTTTTGCCTTACAACTACACATACATAAAGTTTTATCCAAGTTCAAGGGGAGATAACTAATTCTGCAAAGCATGGAAATAAAGATGTGGAGCATCACTCTAAATCATTAGTCATTTTATTATTAGAAAGAAAAAAATCTCAATACTCTGATATTTAATCAATGAAGTAGTGTTCCATTGATACAGCAGAGTAAACAACACTACAAATCATTGGAATCCTCATTTTAATTGGTTTATGCTGGCATATTGGAAATCAATGAAATAAAGTGGTATAATAATGCTTGCTGTTTCCCCCAGCAACAATCGATAAGAGATCTATATTGTAATGGATTCTTATATGAAGTCTTGTTGACAACAATTTATAGTGCATGTTCAAATTTTTTTTCCCTCTCAAATCGGGTCCTACTATACATGAATAGACAACTCAATATTTCAACCCTTCAATGAGCACTACATTGTAATACTTTGTATGTTTGAACAATTCTTTAATAAGCTGGAAGGTTTTTAAGGAACTGAAAATGCTTGATACTTTACAGAAAATCGACATTTTACTGAAAACCTTTGTTTTACCATTATATAAGGTATGGGTTATATTGTTAAAAATTTTAGAATTTCTTCAAATGCACAGTTAGAACGTCAAAGTTTTGTTTCATAATCTTCATTTTCCTCAAAGTGCGCACAGAAAGTCCCCCCTTTTTTTTCGTAAAGAATCGTAACTTTTACCCTGATAATAATGAACAGTGGTTTTAGAATTATGATGGAATCAATCATTCAAATATTACAAGTTTTTACAACTGACCCTTAAGGAGGTGAAACCCTTATGACCAACTTTGACCATCTTACTGTGATTTGATATTTATCAAAACTTGTCTTAGACTAATTGACTTTTCATATTCTAATATTTGACCATGATCTGTTTTTACTTGAGGTAGTCAGTATTATATAACATTTTCTTGTTTTACTCATATTTCTCTGTTTTGACAGAACTAAAAAATGTTTTTTTTGTTTGTTAAGGATTATCCAAAAATTCCAATTGAATTGCAGCTTTTGAGTATTATTACAAAGGTATGTGAATTCCATACGTAGGAGGTAACATCTGCTTGAACATCATACATGTACAAAAATATAAACTAAAAACATCAATATTATATATATATATACTTCAATAACCCATTCCTTCAATTTTCAAAATTATTTAAGCTAATAACTAATAGACTATATTTTCATTAAATGTATTTTTTTAATAGAATTTATTGCACTATGAGTAGAAATCCAATATAAGTTAGAAATTGATTGATCAGTGTTAACCCATAAAAGGAATCTACTTGATTAGTATTCAGATCAATAAAGTTGCACATATTGAATACACTACGACTTGTGTTTTATACTGTAGTGATGTTTAATATTTATCTTTCGTTGTGAGGGATCATCTAAGACATGTTTTTGTCTTAGGCTTGTTGTTTATTAATATAACTGTTAAGAAGATGCAGATAAAATACATGTTCATTTAGAATTGGCACAGTTTTACTCACTGTCGAGTTGTTGGTATTTTGAGGAACATGGAGGCAGATTAATAGAATTTTTTCGTGGGACATATGTGAACTTTTTAAACTGAGGAATTTATTAGGTCCCAATATGATGTTAACTGTTGAAGGATTTAAATAATTATGTGATGACCACTGGCCACTGGTAAAAGTATAATCTGTTATGATGGATATTTAAATTATCATTTTGTCCTGAGATTTATAATGGTAAGTGTTATTTTTACAATTTATAACAAACATAAAAATGTCTTGGTTTATGTCCCTCTTAGATGAAGATATGTAAAGTGGTGACAATTTCTGTCATATTTAATACAGGTTTCTGACAGGTCTACAATCTCTTAATCTATCATGATAACATTTACCTAACAGTTTAAGTCGTGGACAGGTGTAAAGTACTAAGTCTTCGTTTCCTTCATATTCGTTAAACAGGTAGGAGTAATTAATACTAGTTCGTTAACGACTAATTAAACAGAATAGTTGTATATCTATTATTTTCATGGGTTGTAAACATATTATGATCTCTTCGATATGAAAACAAACTAAAAAGTTTGATTGTGTAAACAAAGATTTAAAAGGACGAGACAGTTTTTATGATTAATACAGATGTGAAGAAATTATATTAGTTAAACATGGATGATACTGGATTTGTTGGACTTATTTGTGTTCAAAAGTATACAGGATGGGTAGGATCATTAGTTAAATTCATAACATACAAATTTGGGAAACTGAAATATATTTTTTTAATGGGGTACGTGTGTGGTAAAGTGGGAAATCAATGTAGTTGACTGTTAAACAAAATTATTTTCCTTTGCTGAGACAGTTAAATATTAAATCTGACAGTCTGAAAATCTGAAAATCTGAAAATGGGACATTATCTCTGTATAACCTATTGTCCTGGGTGGGTGGGTACCTGTCAAATCATTGTTCATCATTTCATCACATCTCTTCAGTTTTTTTCATTTATTGATTGTTGGGAGCTAAATATTTATTTTGCAAATTTTGGCAAGATTTCCATATGACTACCCCACCCTATAAAAAAAATCACAAAAGAAACCTTACAGACCACCCTTCTTTAAAAAAATGTGTGGAAAGTTCAAGTTATCAATGAGACAGCTACCCACCACACAAGTCCTGACATGAGAACATACTTATATATCCCCACTGTGGTTGAGTACAGTGTTACGGTACATGTATACCACATCTTCTTATTTTGATATAACAAAAATGTTTAAATCTGTCTCAAAATTCTTTACTGTTGAGTTTTGTTTAAAAATCTATTTCTTACTATTATTTGCCAGTGCGTACATGTATGTACTATAAATAAATCAATAAGTTAGATAATAAGATGAATATTTTACATGTATCTTGACACTACAGTCTTCTATAAACATGATAAAATATTCATTGTCCTGACTTAACTTCTTTATCTATAGAGTTCACATGCATACAAATACTGTCATTAACATCAGGCTTGTGACCGTAGAGTTATATATTGGCTTTATATATTTTATAGTCAGTAGTTAATGTATTATTCATTCATTTTAACAGTTTAATTAATGTGAACAGTAAAAACTGACTAACCACTAGAAATTACCTAGGGGAGATAACTAATAAGGAAAAAGAACATTTTAACTACTTTAAAAAGATTACATGTATAAGATATTAACACACAAGTAGACATAGGCCCTTTATAGCTTACTGTTCGGTGTGAGCCAAGGCTCCGTGTTGAAGACCGTACTGTGACCTATAATGGTTTACTTTTATAAATTTTGACTTGGATGGAGAGTTGTCTCATTGGCACTCATACCACATCTTCTTATATCTATATATAGAGAATTTAAAGGCCTTCAAAGTTACAGTGGGCCCAGAATCAAATAAGAAAGTAATTTTAATGTAACAATTTGTATTGTTCTCCTGAATATACATTTGAATTTGATTTCTTCTATAGATTTAATATCTGGTTCAAAATGGTAATATTAACTCCATTCCTAGTATAGGGCGAGTCCCATGCTCTCTGCGGCACTTTAAAGAACCCTTGCAACAACTATATGAGGGATCAGTAGATGTCCTGTTGCAAGACAAAGTTGCTGTTGTATTCAACATACCTGTAATTTCCTCAGCCTAACCCTTCATTATGGTTGTCCCACCTTGCAGTATCTTTCTTATAATTGTATTGATTATCAATAACAATATCAATCAATCTATTATTTTGAATATTGAATATTTTCTGATTAATGAAACATTTTAATTTATCAAATTACCTCCCTTGTTGATATGTTCATGTAATTAACATTTTTATAATGTCATGAATCATCATCAGAAATCGAGAAGTCTATATATTTATTACCTGCTGGCTCAGACCAGAACAGAATAGCTTTTTATAGCAAATTTCATGAACAATTTTGAGTACATTATGAAAGACCGACAAATAAAATATCAATTAGTCATTGTTTCCTTTGCTGAAGATTTTTTTATTTATGTCCTGTATTCATTTATTATATTACTCCAGCAAATACCAAGGTTGGAGAATTTATACCTGGATCCCATCCTCTTAACTGTTAATGTAGATAATTTAAAGAAGGTGATCCTTTGTTATTTTTTTTTTAATCTCACACAATAGTTAGATAGAAGTTACAGATGACATTGATTACCTGGTTTTGACCTGTTGATTAATTCATTATATGACAGGTTAATGTGTCCATTACATTGATTACCTGGTTTTTACCTGTGATTAAGTCATTAAAAGTCAGATTAATGTGTCCTTTACATTGATCTGTTGATTGATGATCTATGAACATAATTAATATTAAATATCTTAATACAAATATAGACATATTTTAATGTGGTCAGATAGGTAAAATATATTTAGAAAAAATATTATATTTTTGCTGTTGTACTGTTTTGATTCAGTATTTCTTGAGGACATGAGCATGAGATATGATAAAGATTATATGGTTCAAATGACTTTAGGTAGGAGATCTAGAGTGACGAAAAAACATTAGAAAGAACGCTTGAATCTTGTTTAGTTCTAAGTTCATCTGAAAAATAGGATAAGAGATATGGCCTCCACTGTTACATGGATATGTGTTCTGTTTTTTGTGGTATCCAATGTTAAAGATTCATAAATGCAGCGTTTATTATATCCTTACAGATGACTTATATGTTTTGGAAATATGTCATTAAATGTTAGGTTAGGTTTTACATCCAAGTTGGTATTCAGTACATAATGTCAGTTGTATTGTATAAGAAGGACAGCAGACAGAATCAAGTCATATTGACCTATTTTTTATCCTTCACTGACTATATAAAGCTCACTTTGAATTTAATATTTTATCTGCATGTACATTGTCTTCAAATTTATGTGTGGTTATTTTTCTACCTGTTTCTAAACTTTTGAATTATAAATTTATTACATTTTCGAACAAAAATATGTCTAATTTCAATTGGACTGAAAATGAATCTTACATGTTAAAAAGATTTTAATTGTCTGCCGACAAATTTAGACCAACCATCAGAAAGATTTGAACTCTCAAACCAAAATGTTATTCATATTTATCTAGTTATAAGTTGGAAACATGGATAATGAAAAAAATATAATTTGGTCAGGCCTAAATATAATTCCATCTCTTCTTTAATTGCCTCTGTAAGCAATTTAGTTCCTGTAAATAATTATCAGAATGAAGGTTCATTGATTATAGTAAGATCAAGAACCCTTACAAAAAACATAACCTTTAATCAACAAGATCCTATGTTCAGCTTGTTAATCAATCTTATGATATAAAAATATGAAATAATTGGCTTTTTCTGTCTTAATATTCACTTTAGATGTTTTCAGATGTTATTAGTTTGTAATCTTCCTAGATATTCTCCAATCATATCCTCAGATTGATATCTGAGCTATTCAATATATATATAAGTTGATAAATTCTTACAAAAGATGGTCAGGACTTCTTCAGGCAAAATTGTTGACGATTCTGTTAGGGATCATCTTGATTATGTAGCTTATTATATATAAACAAGTCTAAATTGAAAACAACGTTCAAACCTATCATTGCTTTGGATAAAACCGCAATTTTTATACGTGTGCATGTAAAACAAATTTCGTTGTAGAGGGGTCTAAAAACAGCACTAACAACATTTTCCAAAAGACCAAAAAAAGTGAAAAAGTATATTTTAACAAAACGCATTTGACTAACAGGTCGAACAACTGATGTTCTTAAACCCTGCTGACTGCCATTGACGATTGCTCATTATGTATAGATATATTCTCATCTTTATCAGACTTTTAGCTCTAGGCATATTTTTATGAAGGTCAGACCAAAGGAGCACTTTTAAGTCAATTTGTTATTCTGTGGCTCAGAAGTGTATTCTAAAGGAACTTGAGCTGTTTTCCCTCTTTTATTATTATGCCCTACGCTTACAATAGTGAAGGTATTATGTTTTCCTATCTATGTGTCTGATCATCCTTCTGTTGGCCTGTTTTGTAAGTGTTAAAAAAATAAATCTTTATGTCGCTTTTGACAAAAGTCGAAAGTCGCAGATGGCGAGACATAAGTGTTGCTTTACCAGAGACAACTACGGCATTAGGCATCGTTGTCGTCTGCGTCAACAATTGTTAAGTTTTCTGCTTAATTTAGTTTGATAGGAACTACTTGTGATAGATCAATTATATTTTCTATAAAGTTGTACTACTTTTAGAACATATCAGTTTGACACGTATTTTGAGGCCCTGCACCTGTAGGGGATGGTCCAGTTACATTGAATTAATTACCAATTTTCTATGTTAAGTTTTCTGCTTAATTCAGTTTGATAAGAACTACTTGTGATATATCAATGATACTTCCTATAAAGTTACATTACTATCAGTACCAGTACATGTCAGTTTGTCGACCATTTTGAAGCCCTGTTCCCTAGGTTATGGTCATGCATTTTTAAATTAATTTCTGAATTTTCTGCTGACAGGCGAGACATATCTTTGTGTCAACATTTTATTTATACCTTGCAATGTATTTTACCACGCAGTTGTAGTCACATCAACTTGAAACTCAGTTATCATGTTCATTATGATGATAATTTTTAAAATTATATGACAAATTAGGGTTTCGACCAATATTTTGCAGTTCACTGTACATGGAAATGTAACAATTAATAGGCATGATGTTGTATGGACATGTATTGATTTAATGTTTTCTGTTAAAAATAGATATTTTCATCAAGAAATTCTTCATTATTTCAGTGTATTTTACTCTGTTTAACTTATTCTTGTTCAGACCAACACAATTTTAATTGTGGAAGTAGTATATTTGTGCACTCTTGGAAAATAAGTTATTATAAAAAAAAATTAGGGGCAATACGTTTCTACCGTTTTCCATGTATGATGTTTTAAGGGAAAGAAGAACACTTCATAAAAGGAAATAACCTGAAATGATAATGAAATCCTATTGAGAATAACTATAACCTGAAATGATAATGAAATCCTATTGAGAATAACTATAACACAGAAATATGGTCTGCAGTATAACAAATAAGAAGTTGTAGTATGACGAGACGCCAAACACCAAACATCAAAATAACAAAAAAATAGTTAAGATGTAGACAACCAAGAATTAAATAACATATGATTAAAAGGAGATGTGTGGTTCAGTCTCCTTGTACCCTCTTTTAAATCTATAAATTAGTTATACAAATATGAAGTATAAGTGTATAACATTATGTTTCTATCTTATAACTGTTCAGTATAAGTGTATAACATTATGTTTCTATCTTATAACTGTTCAGTATAAGTGTATAACATTATGTTTCTATCTTATAACTGTTCAGTATAAGTGTATAACATTATGTTTCTATCTTATAACTGTTCAGTATAAGTGTATAACATTATGTTTCTATCTTATAACTGTTCAGTATAAGTGTATAACATTATGTTTCTATCTTATAACTGTTCAGTATAAGTGTATAACATTATGTTTCTATCTTATAACTGTTCAGTATAAGTGTATAACATTATGTTTCTATCTTATAACTGTTCAGTATAAGTGTATAACATTATGTTTCTATCTTATAACTGTTCATAGGTAAGCAGAACTATGTATGTAAATTCTTTGTATTGTACCCATCTTAGACCTTGTTTTACAAGAACTGACTTTCTGTGGCCCCATTTCTAAAAGTGACTTGGTTTGCTGGTAGTACCCATCTTAGACCTTGTTTTACAAGAACTGACTTTCTGTGGCCCCATTTCTAAAAGTGACTTGGTTTGCTGGTAGTACCCATCTTAGACCTTGTTTTACAAGAACTGACTTTCTGTGGCCCCATTTCTAAAAGTGACTTGGTTTGCTGGAAGTACCCATCTTAGACCTTGTTTTACAAGAACTGACTTTCTGTGGCCCCATTTCTAAAAGTGACTTGGTTTGCTGGTAGTACCCATCTTAGACCTTGTTTTACAAGAACTGACTTTCTGTGGCCCCATTTCTAAAAGTGACTTGGTTTGCTGGTAGTACCCATCTTAGACCTTGTTTTACAAGAACTGACTTTCTGTGGCCCCATTTCTAAAAGTGACTTGGTTTGCTGGTAGTACCCATCTTAGACCTTGTTTTACAAGAACTGACTTTCTGTGGCCCCATTTCTAAAAGTGACTTGGTTTGCTGGTAGTACCCATCTTAGACCTTGTTTTACAAGAACTGACTTTATATAATGGCCCCATTTCTAAAAGTGACTTAGTTTGCTGGTTACTGACCTTCCAGTTTTGTGATATGTTCCCAGTAGCTTCCGACGAAGGGTTTTATGGGCATACAGTGGCGTAGCACCAGTGTAGCATTGTAAGCATGTGCTTACAAATACTTTTATAAAACATTTTTTTCAATAAGAATTTTACCATAATTGTTCACCCCCCCCCCCCCCCCCCCCCCCCAGACCCATTGCTTACAATTTATTTTCCAGTGACTACGCCATTGGCATAAAAAGGTAAATAAAAAGGACAACAATTTTTCAAATCCTGGATCCGATGTTGAAAAAAGACAATATATATATATATTGACTAATCTTACAACTAAGTGTCTGGTTAAACCAGTTTTTATGGCACTCTTGTTTTCACTTTATAATAGATTTTCCTCTTACATTAAAACTCATAACAGATCGAAATAGTAGATTAAAGTCAAATTTAAATAAATAAATGTATCTGAAAATTTAATGAACTTTCTATATTAAATGTATCAAAAATTTGTTTATTAAAATTCTTGTGTGTTGTACACAATACATTCACACAATTCTTTTGAATTCATTTTAAAATAAAATTGATTTAGATCTTAATCTCAGTATATATAATAGGTATACTGGAAATTTCTAACCTGTTACTGGTAAAATTCTACTAAATTACAGGTTATAAAAGGAAATGAAATCTCATGTCACAATCTCTCAATTTACATTATATTATTAATGAGTGTTTGATTGGATTGGTAATGGTGAGCTTTTGAAATAAATGATTTTATTAAATTCAGTTTACCGGTAATTTAAAATTTATTATTGGTTTTATTCCAGGCCTCCTATTCCAACAAAAGAATACCCATACCCGAGGGAAAAGCTAAAGAGAAAAGGAGATCTTTTCTTCCAGCGCCTAAAACCTTCGGACTGCAAAAGGAAAAACAAGAAGAACCACGTCTTTTTTCGCCTCCACCCGAAGATCATGCAGATGAGGAGTTACATGTCGGTGATAGAATAGTAATTAGTGGAGTTAAGTCGGGGACTCTGCTTTATTTTGGAAAAACCCATATTGCATCTGGATTTTGGTGTGGAATTGAACTTGACGAACCTGACGGAAAACATGATGGATCAGTAGAAGGAGTTCGATATTTCGAGTGCCGTGTTGGACATGGAATATTTGCTCCTGCAGATAGAGTATCAAAACCTGAAGGATCTGTGGAGGATACAACAGAGACGTTAAGACAACTACCTCAACCTAAAACCAAGGTCAGGAGACTCTTACCTCAACCTAAAGCATTTAATAAACCCGAAAATATAGAGAGTTTGTTACGTTCTAAAATACTCGAGGAACAAGAGGAGTTTCAGTATCGTAGTGAACCCCCCAGGATAGCACAACAACAGAAAGCTCATTATCAACAAGATTATCTATATGACCGCTCAAATTTAAACATTGATGATTTGTTAACTGAACAATATGGAGATTCCTGTGTGAAAAAGTTGTCATCAACATTTACGTTGAGCGAGGGTTCTCGTAGATCTGAGTCAGAGGATTTCTCTCATAAATCTCCAAGGAGATCACAAAACTATGGACATCAGCAATATCAAGGACAAGGTTGTGTAAGTACTGAGCTTGAGGTGACTGGCAATGCTTTGAATAATACCTATATCCTTCCTACTGAAAAGATTGAACAATTAAATCGTATCTATACTGATAGTGGCTTTATCCTTCCTAGTGAAAAGATTGAACAATTAAATCGTACCCATAATGATAGTGGGTCTAGCGGCGATGATTCTATTGGTCCAGAATTAAAAGAATGCCTTTCTTCTGATGGCAGGAAATATTTTAATTTAACTTTTGATACTGAGGGAAATAATTCACCAAAACATTTTAGTAATTCAAGAAATTCTGATACAATTCATCATGAAATATCAAATGAGTATGAAGTAAAGACAACTCCTGTTCCAAAATCAAATCAAATGAGCGAGAGCATGAGCTCAAGCTTAGGTGTACTTGATTTGGAGGACGTTCTATTCCAAACAGAGTTATTAACTGATGATTTAATCGATTCTTCAAATCTTACCGACATTGAAAAAATTGTTCAATCTTGTGACAAAACAAAGAGGGTTGCTTCATTAAATGACACATTTGAAAATAAAAGTGTAATCACTTCCACGCCATTGGTGACGGAAAAATCCAAATCCCTGCTTGATCGTACACGTACTATATCAAATTCCAAATCTGGTATCAGCACTGGTATACCTGAAGAGGTGGCACAATTATCTGATGATCAAATCTTACAAAATCTTAGACATAATTTAAATTCAACTTTTCAGGCTGATCAGACACGAGGTGTTGAATTACCGATTGTAGGAGACGATACGCTTGACTGGAGACAAGAAGCTTCAGACTCAGAAGAGCAACAGTCTGATGATAGTCTAGAGGAGTCTTACAGTAAAAACCTGCTCCAAGGGTACAATGAGAAGGGTAATCTGAATGTGACATACACGTCTGGATTAGATGCTAATACTAATAGTAGTAGTAGAAATGACAGTTTGTCTGAAAAATTAGAGAATCTGAGACTCGATAAGGAAGATAGTATTCATAGCAACAAGGAACTAAGTTTCCAAAAGGTTCAAAGTGGGCTAACTAGAGAACAAATACAAAAATTTGATAAACCTATGACCGATTCTGGGATCTCTGTCAAAGGATTAACAGATTCTACAAATTCTTTACAGAGTTCAACCGAAGGTATAATATATAGACAGAGAAAACCTATGACTGATTCTGGAATATCCTTACAAAGCGATTACGGGATGGCAGATTCACAGGAAATGAGATGGTCACAGAATTTAGACAGTCTCCAAGAATTAACAGAGAACTCTGGTTTAGAGGAGAAACAGTTTGGTGATCCAACGCAACTGGAGAGAGATTTAAAAGCAGGACATAAGAAGAGGGACCGCCCCCTTTCTCTAATATCTACCACTAGTGCTGACACGGGTAAGATTATATGTTTGATAGAATAGGTCAGTAGTGAACAAAAAAATAGTTTGGCTTTCTAAACTTCTTGTTCTGTAAGTTTTATCCACAACAGAAAGGCTCAACTCCAACAAAATAGGTACATTGTTTCTTCTATTATTTAAAATTACACTGTAGAGTTGTATTGTATCTTATGTGTATGTGCTTGAATGCACAGATGTAGCATTATTGGCATGTAGGAAGGAATTTTACTGAAACTGGTTTTACTAAATTTTTTGTTAATTGGAAGCTTTGGCACCGTTTTGAAGACCACACATTGACTTGGAAATGAAGAATAAGGATTAAAGCACTGTTCCTTTGGTAACAGTTTTGTCAAGTTTGTGTAGGAATTGTTATGTATGAAGAAGTAGTGCACCATAGAATTGTTCTTTTCCATTGTATTGGTTAATCTAACATTTAATGCTCACAAGTTGGAAGTTGTAATAAGGTCTATAGATCAATCTCTATGATAAAAGGGTTGATAGATTCTGAAATAAGTAATGATGATTACATTGGAAAGGGACTTAGATTTGACATAAAGCTCAGATAGGAGATGTTATAATGCTTCATTACAGTGTGGCAGTCTCCTGACGGGTGGCTTTAGATATAGCTTCTCCGCCATGTATAACCAGATACTGTAAATTCATTTATTATCTTGGGTATAAATTTTAGTGGATTGAAAAAAAAAAAGTATTTTCTTAGGTACTTGATTACATGGTTTTACCAAATTTCATACAATCCTTTGAGAAATTTGTACTTTGTTGACTTTTTTAATTGGTTGCCCATGAAATCCACGAAAATTGGTACCTAAGAAATAACGATTCTATGAACAATTTATACTTCGTTGAACATTTCAGTTGATGGTTTATCTATGCCCATGAAAACTTAATGAATAATAATGAATCCATCCACAGCACTGTAGTGTTGTACATTTCTAAATACATTCATTAGAATCAGGAAAATAAGACATTTAAAGTCCAGTGTTTTCTTCCATTCTTGAATACCTTTTGTTTACCGGAAACTTGTGTCATGTTTATTGTATAGAAATTTATGGTAAAAACTGAGAAATAAAATAACATGCTCCACACAGTAGAATGTTTATTACTTTACAATATGTAATATGTAGAAATGATGCCAAGAGAAACCTGTTTTAACTGCACATTAATGTCTGAATTGTTCTAAAATTAACTTTCTTCTTAAAATCAGAAGTAATTACTTCAGTAAAGTATTGTAAAATAATACATATGATAGACAATACACTGAGTTAAAAAATAATCAGGTTAATTGATCACATCCACAAAAAATCTTAATGCAATGTTTTAAATTCCTACCATAATACAATTTAAAAAAAAAATGAATTTTCAAGTTTTAAAAAGGCAGGCTGTCTATATGGAGTTCATCATTTGTCTAAATGATTGATGACTACGAACATCCATCTCCAAGTTCAGTACTTTTGACTACATGAATAGGCGGAAAATTCACCTTTTTTGCCCTGTTTTTATATTTTAAGTACATTATTTCAAATCATTCTACCAAAAATTCATTTCTCTATTTCTTTTTGAACAGCAGAAAAAATCATGCAGTTTCAGAATATATTTGCCCAACCAAAGTTTTGAGAAATTTACCTAATTTGTGGAAAAATCCCAGATAATTATAAAATATTATTCTGCATTCCAAAATTTTGTTAAGTGATTAAAAGTCCAATAACTTTGTAGTCTTCAAGAAAAAGAAAAAGAATGTGAGAATAAAAGGTACATTTTCTGGTTTTGGATTTTAAATTCTTCATCTATTCATTCATTCATTATGAACAACATGATACTACATTTTGGGAATTTTGCACTTATGAAGTGATTTTTTTTACATGTACTTCATTTAATTAAGTTTCCATAAAGTTGTTTAATTCTTGGCCTTCCAGTTTTGTGGTTCATGGTGACACCAGTAAACATCAAGCAAGGTTTCCTAGTCCATGATAATTTTCCGTCATCGGAGGGGCATTAAGTGTTACCTTTGTCCATCCGTCTGTCTGTCCCAAAAATTGGTTTCTGTTCTCTAACTTAAGTTAGCCTCAACCAAATGTTATGAAACTTATACATAATGCTTATTACCACAAATCACAGATCAAGTTCGAATTTGGGTGGTGTCACTTTTACTGTTTTAGAGTTATGCCCCTTTACAAATGGAAAAATTGCTGAATTTTTTGTTTCCGTTCTCCAACTTAAGTTTGCCTTGACCAAATGTTATGAACTTATACACAATGCTTATTACCACAAAACTCAGATCAAGGTCGAATTTAGGTGGTGTCACTTTTACCGTTCTTGAGTTCACCATTTATTTTTAAATTCAATTTGTAAATGTAAGTCTATGATTTTATAGCCACATGAAAATTAAAAAAAAGAAAATTTAAACCATGTAACTGTTACAAACTTTGACTCCAGTGATTAAGGATGTCAGAGTGGTGATGTGTTGCCTCTAGAAAGTGGTGCACAATATTGCATTACCAGTACCTTTTTTTAATGCAGATTTTTCTATGAACCATTCATCTGTTCATACATCATGTCCATACCTCAGTTAGACTAATTGGAAGTCTCCAAATTCCTTCCTTGCAACAATATTCATGGAATAAAGACTTGGGGTGTGCTGATATTGGCGTTGGTGGGATTAACACTTGTGATTTAGGTTACATAGGCTTGAAATATTTCTGTATTAACAGTTTATCTTTCCAAACATTTTCTTAAAATTTCCATCTCAAAAACATTTCTTCTAATTGAATATGTTGTGAAAAGGAGACCATATTGGTTTCATTCCTCCATTATGAGTGGGAAGTTTTGGTGATGGCCATAGTGGTTTTATTCCTCCATTACGAGTGGGAAGTTTTGGTGATGGCCATAGTGGTTTTATTCCTCCATTACGAGTGGGAAGTTTTGGTGATGGCCATATTGGTTTCATTCCTCCATTACGAGTGGGAAGTTTTGGTGATGGCCATATTGGTTTCATTCCTCCATTACGAGTGGGAAGTTTTGGTGATGGCCATATTGGTTTTATTCCTCCATTACGAGTGGGAAGTTTTGGTGATGGCATAAAATCATCATCTGGTGTTTGTAGGACGCTTACTTTTATCATAACAATTCATTTTTATTTATTTGGAGAAATTTATTTAGAGTTAGTAACATTATTTAAAATATTGAAATTATAACATGTAGCAATGTGATCCTCTGTCCTGTTAAATATAACTATCGATCAACAACTTGGAAATTCTCTCATCTTTGTCAGTCAGCAAATAAAACCAGTTAAAAGTTTCCAAAAAATGAATTATTGTTTTAACCTACAAGTGTTTTATTTTGTAGGATATGTGCCTGACACTGATTCAGAAATGGGTACTGTGACCATGAATTCACCAACAGAATGGACAGACCGGAAAACAGATGACCACAAGGTCACTGACCTAGATCAAGCTTATGCTGAAACTTTCAAACATTATCAATCAGGTAGGGTAGTGATACTAACAATGGATTAACAGACAGACAAACAGCCACACAGATAGACAATATTTATACTATAAAGCAAATATTAGGAAATAGCAGTATTGTATTTGAAGATTTGCATGTATCAATAGGTGATTTGATGGTCACAAATTAAGTTTACAGACGACATGTGAGCAGACCTAGTGAACAGTATTTCTGACCATCAAATCAAACACTGATGTTTGCAAATCTTTGAATACAATACAGTTATCTCAATTAAAATGCAACTGAAAGAAGAGGCACTTAAAATATGCATTTTATAGTCATCTACTATTCCATTGAAGTTTTTCCTTTTGTTTTATTTGAGCACAAAAACAAATAGTATTTTGCTTTAAAAACTTCTTGTGGACAGTGAATGTATTGTTTTAGTATGTTAACATTCATTAGGAGGCAATACCTGGTACTTTTACTTTTCTGTGCTTCTGATAAGTACCGCCTGAATTAAGGAATTTTTATATTGGATATTCATGGAATGTATTGAAAAGTACCACCTACAAATGGAAAAGTACCAGTCAACATGCAAGATAATGAAAGTATTTTTTTCTCTGAAAACAAGTAAAACTTAATACAGCCCCTATGACTAGTATCTATCTTGGATATTTTAAACATTATACTTCTAAAAAAAACATACTCATGCAAGTCACTTCTTGCTAAAGACAATACATTAAAATACAAACGACCTCTTCTAAAATTATACAGTAGCATCCGAAGGTTAAATAAGTCAATCTAATACAGAAATTAGATATATGATGACATTATTCCACACTTTACCAAACCTTTCTAGAGTCTTTATTGAATTTAAGCTATAATTAGACTGTATTATTGAGGAACAGCAAATAGTTTCAGTCTCCATTGTTTCTCAAGAGAATAGTATAGTATTGATTTTATACCAACAGCTTCTCTTGTAGTGATTCATAGTATGGGATTCTATCTGAAAAAAATATATAAGCTTTAAATCTGATTGCTTGATATTAATGACACATCTTAAATAATAATGAAATTAAGAGCAAGAAACATCTAAGCTGGGTTTTCAGTATCTGTCGTGTTAATAATTTAGCTTTAACTAATTTTGTGGGGTAAAAAATAATTTTTTTGAAAGTTTTCATATTCTTTTCTTTCATCCATTAATATATTTTTATAATCCTACTGTGTGCACCTTGTTTGTCTGTCTGGTCTGTCTGTTTGTCATCCAACAAATATTTTATCACATTATTTTCACGTACTACTTTTAAAACAGAAAGATTTCAAATTAGGCCAGTAGCATGATGTACCATTTGCTGCTGAATTATATGTACATATGGGAATGATTTTGGGCTGTCTAAAGGTCACATTTACATTAAACAGGAAATATTCCAAGTCGCAACAATTATAAAAATCTTTTTTTTATTCTTTATTATATGAGCATTATTTGCTGTTACACAATAGTGAGATATTTTCATCAAAATTTATAACATTATAAAAGCATCTTTCTTCCTAATTTTTAAGGGTTTTTTCTTAACTCTGAGATGCAAACATTCACTGAAAACGTTTCATTTGGAGATAATTTTTCCATATCATGCTGTATATTACAATACAAACAGTCACAGTTGACTTGATGGAGGCCCCATTTTAAAAATAGTATATTTATCCCCTGTCATTATGATGTCTGAGTGATATTTGTATGCAGTATCACATTCAGTGGCTGCAATATATATAGGAAGAAACTTATTTTACTAGACAATGGTTTTTGTGCTTTTTAATTTGTACCTGTCAATATTGGTCTCTGAACATATAATGTTTGTCACTATGACATTTGTTTGTACAGGTATTCTATTCAAGAAATTTTCAGACGGATTTTGTTTTTAGCCCGTTTTTTAATCTTTCAAGGCCATGCTAGTAATACTGCTGTTTAAAACAAGATGCAATACTTGATTTATTTAAATTGGTTAATAGTAAATACATAAAACTTTTGATTTATAGCTTAAAACTTGTCCTAGAAATCACATGATTTTGAAATAAATATGCTAGTGGTTTAGTGAAATTCAGATCTTCTTTCCTGATTTATGGGGATGAGAACATGAGATGGGTTGGCCTGACTTTAAATCTTCCAATATTTACATAGAAGTGTTATTATTTGTCAGCAAAAAGTTCAGATTTTGGTAATTCAAGATAGTACAGGGATTCATATTGCCATACAAAAGCAGCTAGTGATAAGGTCTATAACTACAAAACATCTTCTGAAAGTGTTACTGCATCTGAAAAATGTGATATAATGACACTATTCCTGTTTTATCAAAACTAATTGTTCTTTTTAGAACAAGAGAAAAGATAAAATATTTATTTATTACTCCTATGTAAATCAGATTTAATCGTCTCTTATCTTTGTGGCTGATGCCCCTCAGATATACAGAGACTACATCTAAAAATGAACCGAATACCATAAACAGACATTAAAATGGCATTAAATCTCTACTCATTCAAAAACATACAATGTTAGATTACATGCAAGTAAAGCATAGGTTCTTTTGTGCTTACAGACTCTATAGATGCAGATCCAGGATTTTGAAAAGGGGGGGGGGGAGGGGGGGGGCATGGGCCCCCAAACAAGACAAAATTTGTAGTGAAACTGGTAAAAGGTCTGGATTAACCATAAATGAAGCTCCATAAGGGGGGCCTGGTCACCTCTGCCCCCACTTAAATCCCCCCTGAAAGAATTTTAGAAGGTGGCAGGTATAGAAATGCTGAAATAACTTCACTCATTTAACACCTCACCTGAATACGTTATGTTTACCGTCCTCACATTACCCAAACAGCTCTTCAATCCATCATTCACTGTTATTGTGAAAAATATTGTTTTAAGAAAACATAGGACCAATATTAACCAAAATTGACTTATATATATATATATATATATGTATTTTTGCAAATAGGTTAATATATTAAATGCTAATTCTTATTCTAAAGAGAAGAACCACAAAAAGTATGAAGAACCAAATTAAAGTTTACCTTTATTGTTACAGTTTGTTAAATAGGTGAAATGTTTAATTCATAATGAGCATGTTGTAACTGATTTAGAAATTTAATACATGTACCTCCATTAGTAATAAATCTTAATTTTTATTTATTTCACCTGCAAACATCTTAAAGTATATAGTGTCACTGTTACCTGAGTTGGTTGTCAACAGGTTGAACTGTCAAGGGGCCATATCGTTTATCACATTCTACTACGTTATCACAAAGATATTTTTTCTTTTTGTATGAAATCAAATGTATTTTCGACATAAAAGTTTAAATACATTAGAAAGTGATCAATTTCATTTGTATTGTAGCCGTGTTAAAAGGTACGAGACGGGCCAAGGACCTTGAAAGTGATTCGGACATGTATAGTGATGCCGGGACTATTATAGCAGATACGGATACTCTTAGAGAGATTTCATCTGATATGTAAGTTAACATTTTCATAGAATATGTGCAGTTTGTAAAATAGGAATCCTATAGCAATACAGAATTAGATGAAAAATGTTAGTATTCCTTTAATATTTGAGGACATTGAAAATCTTATTTCTTAGCTTTGTGTAAATGTTATTATAACAGTAGTGCAATCATGCATAGCCACAGCTATATCTCTAAACAAATCCATTTGAAAATATTTTGCTCAATCAAGATGAGGGAATAGCATATTGAATATAAAAGCTATTTAGAAAAGAGAGAAAAACTGATTTTTAAAACTTTGGAGTTCTTTTAGTGAGAGCAATAAGACATCAATTCTATAGGGTTCATATTGATCATCAGTATTCCAATATCTGAAGCTATAAGACTTTTTATACTAGTAAGTCATTAATATAACAGACTCTATAAGAGCTTCCTTCCGTCTATTATGACATTTTATTATCATTTTATTTCTTCTATAAAGTTAAGTCTTCCCATATCAATAGCTCAATTAGTTTCCATTACTTTATAGGACATCCTATATTACCATGCATTGTGATGTAGAAACTGTTATCAGATTTATCTACTCCGGCTTCCTCCACCAATAAAAACTGGTGGCCATAATATAACCAAAAGGGCTGAAAGTGGCCTTAAACACCAACAATCAATTAACCACTCAGATTTATCTATGTAATATTGAGCACTAAAAATGTAATACTTGCTCACAATAGTATAATTTTTACCAAAAAATTCAAATTCAGTTAAAAATACCTTTTACATGTACTCTATAGGAGAAGAAGTAGAATATGTTTATTTTCATTTAAATAGACTCACAAGAATTAACATAAAACAATATCAGATATATTTAGGCAAACATTTCCAAATCTCATTTTTCAAAATACAATTTGAATTTAAATATTTTGAATGAAGTGAATGAAAAAAAAAAAAAATTTGTTTGAATAATTTAATATACAAGATAGCATAACATTCAACATAAACCGACTGGCCATTGTAAGTCTGACCTTGAAAGGACAGTGTCCTGAGTCAGATGACAAATACATAGAAATATTTGTAACATATTTTTGTTTCTTTGGTGAAGCAAAACAAATAACATCGACAAACAACATACCCATTTAATAAATTACAAATAAGTAGAAAATTATCCCCAGGGTGTATCTCTTTGTGTGTTCTAGATCTCTAATATCTTCTTATATAAATAATTTTGACAAGAGATGTGCAAATAATTGTCTTAGATCAAAATATTATTATGTATTTCGAGGAGTGTATTGCAGATTTTATTTGTAATCCTTTTCATATCTTGAGGCAATACACAATTATATAATGTTTGATCTCTTATGATATGGATTTTGATATTTGACAGATTTTTACACATTAAAGGTTAAAATTGATAGAATAGATGGTGACACTTTGCACTGGGTATTTTCTGATTTATTAGGGAAATTATCTTAAATGTAATTTGAGATAAAGTAGTTACTAAACATTCTGGATTTTTTTCCAGTTATTTGACAGATTTTTCACATTAATGGGTAAAATTGATAGAATAGATGTTGACACTACACACTTTCTACTTGGTATATTAAGACATAGTGGGGAATTGTCTTTGATGGAAATATTAGATAAAGTTGTTCCAAACAGTTCTTGGATTTTTCATGTTTTTTTTATGACTATTTCAAGTCCTCCATAATAATCAGTAAAAAACAATCATTTACATAAGGGCATGTAGTATTTCTTTCTACAAAGTAAGATACTTAAATGTATGATCAATCAAGTTTTTTATAATGATCATTCTAAACAACACACACATTAAAAACCTGCCATCTTTAAGTTTCTTTACTATAGAGCCAGGAAAATAACAATACTGACTGACTAATACCTTTATTTATCTACTTAGCAATCTCACAATTTCTAAATTTGTCCTTTAGCTCTTCTAGAAAGCTTATTAAAGATTTTGTTCTGGATTTCACTTTACACAAAACTAGCTGATACAAATGATATATTCTGATTGATTTTTTATGGTCCGGGGAAAACCTAATATTAACTTGTGGCTTAGAACTAGCTTTCAGTAATTGTGAGTATTTACTCTAAGATTTGTAATTTGTGTCATAAATTGTCATTTTGTTAGTGATGCCAATCTGATGAGTCAAGCACTTCTCATTGGATTTTTACAGTTTGTTGATATTTTGTGCTGTAACACCACTGTACCATATTAAGGAGGGTTGAGTGTACACCAACTGGTTTATTAAGCATGCCACATTCTGTTTATGTCTGTCTGAAGCTAGGAACCTTTAGTTTAGTCCAGTGGTTGTCATTGTTAGCTGACTGCCTTAATTGTATTTCTTTTAGAATTATTAGCTGAAATCAAGCCATTATTTATCTCTTTTGAAATGTTTCAGATTTTGTTATCCCTATGACTTTGAAGTTTACTATATATGGTATGGGTTTTGTTTAAGTCTGTACAGTGATTTGTGGGTCTACATTTCTATGTCCTTTGGTCCTGGGTTTACTATATGTTATGGGTTTAAGTTATTTCAGTCTGTACAGTGACCTGTGGGTCTACATTTCTATGTCCTTTGGTCCTTGGTTTACTATATGTTATGGGTTCTGATAAGTTTTATTACAGTCTGTACAGTGACCTGTAGGTCTATATTTCTATGTCCTTTGGTCCTTTGTTTACTATATGTTATGGGTTTTAAGTTATTTAAGTCTGTACAGTGACCTGTGGGTCTATATTTCTATGTCCTTTAGTCCTTGGTTTACTATATGTTAAGTGTGTTGTTTAAGTCTGTACAGTGACCTGTGGGCCTACATTTCTATGTCCTTTGGTCCTTGGTTTACTATATGTTATGGGTTTAAGTTATTTAAGTCTGTACAGTGACCCATAGGTCTACATTTCTATGTCCTTTAGTCATTGGTTTACTATATGTTATGGGTTTAAGTTATTAAAGTCTGTGCAGTGACCTGTGGGTCTACATTTCCATGTACTTGGTCCTTGGTTTACTATATGTTATGGGTTTAAGTTGTTTATGTCTGTACAGTGACCTGTGGGTCTACATTTCTATGTCCTTTGGTCCTTGGTTTACTATATGTTATGGATTTAAGTTATTACAGTCTGTACAGTGACCTGTATGTCTACATTTCTATGTCCTTAGTCCTTGGTTTACTATATGTTATGGGTTTAAGTTGTTTATGTCTGTACAGTGACCTGTATGTCTACATTTCTATGTCCTTAGTCCTTGGTTTACTATATGTTATGGGTTTAAGTTGTTTATGTCTGTACAGTGACCTGTAGGTCTACATTTCTATGTCCTTGGTCATTGGTTTACTATATGTTATGGGTTTAAGTTGTTTAAGTCTGTACAGTGACCTGTGGGTCTACATTTCTATGTCCTTGGTCATTGGTTTACTATATGTTATGGGTTTAAGTTGTTTAAGTCTGTACAGTGACCTGTGGGTCTACATTTCTATGTCCTTTGGTCCTTGGTTTACTATATGTTATGGGTTTTGTTTAAGTCTGTACAGTGACATGTGGGTCTACATTTCTATGTCCTTGGTTCTTGGTTTAATATATGTTATTGGTTTAAGTTATTTAAGTCCATACAGTGACCTGTGGGTCTACATTTCTATGTCCTTTAGTCCTTGGTTTACTATATGTTATGGGTTAAGTTATTTAAGTCTGTACAGTGACCTGTGGGTCTACATTTCTATGTCCTTTAGTCCTTGGTTTACTATATGTTATTGGTTTAAGTTATTTAAGTCCATACAGTGACCTGTGGGTCTACATTTCTATGTCCTTTAGTCCTTGGTTTACTATATGTTATGGGTTAAGTTATTTAAGTCTGTACAGTGACCTGTAGGTCTACATTTCTATGTCCTTTAGTCCTTGGTTTACTATATATTATGGGTTTAATTTATTTAAGTCTGTACAGTGACCTGTGGGTCTACATTTCTATGTCCTTTGGTCCTTGGTTTACTATTTGTTATGGGTTTTGTTTAATTCTATACAGTGACCTGTGGGTCTACATTTCCATGTCCTTCAGTCCATGGTTGATAGTTACCCCATTTGCAATCATATCACATCTATTTTTTATATAATTTCACATTTTGGTTTTTGGTCAGGAGTAAAGAGAAAAAAGATCTAGGTAGAGGGGTCTGAGGGATTAAACCTCTTTCTTCAGAATTTTTGTTGTAGACCTGAAGATTACACTGGAACCTCCAATATACAAATTTTCTGGATCAATGACTGAGGGGTCTAGCAGTTTTTGACTGAAAATAGAAAATAAGACGATTATTTTTTTATATCAAACCATGTGATTTTCAAAATATATTTTGTGGTCAGTAAGCTAGCTCTAAGTAGGTTACTTACTGTATATAAGCCATTAAGCCATTACAGCCGTATTTTGTACATGTACTTTAAACTTAATAGATTTAAGTAGCAAATCCATAAGCGTATCTTATATTTGATTTGTTTAACAGAATTAACCTGCTTTCAGTCTTATATATTATAAAATACCATTACCCAAATGTCAGTGTACTGGTTATTCAGATAATATTGTTTAACTTATATTTTTCTGACATTAATTCCAGAGATTATTTTGCTGTATGTATTGTGTATTATTATAGTATAGAGAAATGGTTGCGGCATTGTTTTGTTAATTTGCCAGATAAATATGGCCTTTGTTGTTGTTTTTTCAGTGACATTATTTGTGGTAGTTTAAGTGAAGCAAAGGAAGTTCTGTCAGAACAAGTACCAAGTTTGGATCTACAAAAAGTTAAGGTAAGTCTTGTTGTTCATAGCTGTACTATATTGTCTTTGTACATGTGACAGTACCGCAGTGGAGGGGGCATTAAGTGTAACCCTTGTCCCTCTGTACGTCCCTACATATGTCTCTAACTTTAGTTTGCCTCAACCAAATGTTGTGAAACTTATACACACAATGCTTATTACCACAAAACACATATCAATTTCGAGTTTGGGTTGCGTCACCTTTACTGTTCTTGAGTTATATCCCTTTATGGTGTAATATGCAAGCAGGGGCATCATCTAGACACATTCTCCATTTATTTATTTTTGGTAAAGATAGTTTACCATGAAGTTGTGGTCAGATTAACTTGAAACTCAGTAAATTATTTATGCTCATTATGATGTAAATGTTTGAAATTATATTCCAAATTATGGTTTTGACCCTGGTTTCATAGTTCACTGAACATAGAAACAGGATATTGTACAAGTAAGGCATCATGTCCTATTGACACATATTCTTATCTGCACCTACCAAGAATTTCCTTAGAATTTGAATAGACAGATTAAAGTAAAAAAACAGCATAAGATCAATGAGGTGTTATTTCCCTATTTAATATGATTGTTCTTTTGTTTATTATATCAGACAGTTTATTATATTGTTAAGAATATTCAGCTGATATAATATTGCATAATAGTCAAAAGAAAAAATTAGGTGAAACATATGGTCTGCACATGTCACTTACAAAAATGTACAAATTGATTGGTGAAATAAGGTTCAGGTGAATAGGAATTCAAGTAAACAAAAGAAAGAAATGATATGAACCGCTGATGTTCAAAATTCCTGTCATTTCATGACGAATTTACTTTATTCAAAACCTCACTTAGTATTTTCACAAAAAATCTTATGAGATAAGTAAGTCAAATAAATATAACTTACCATCAACCTAAATCTTAAGTTTGTAAACGGAACTACAGACCTTAAAGCTAACATTTGTGAATACTGCTGTTTAAATACAAGTCCTGGGAAATTCAGACCTAAAAATCAATATAATTTAAAGTCGTTTAGACCTAGACTTAAAAAAAAAAACCATCTATCTGTCCACAATAATTGTGTTTCTATTTTCATATTCTACATCTAGTATTAAACTTGGAATACCAAATAGGAAACTTATGTTATCCATACAATCCATCAGGTGGTATATTTCTTGTGTAACTTCACACACACACACATTCAGCTTTAAGCTCCTTAATTTAAGATTTAATATTTAAACTACAATTAAAGTATCCTTATAGCTTTTAAATGACATAATTGTATAAATACCATTATATAAATAAGTAACAAAGTCAGTATTGAACATTTAAACGATCAGTTTCTTAATGTTCTTAAATTCATGTTGATTTAATTTTTGATGGGTGATTTTTTATCGAAGAAAATGGAAAGTGTTTTTCACATATTTATATAAAATATTCACAGGCAAGTAATGTTTTCTTCTTTTAAAATGATTTTGTGCTACAAAATTAACCCTAGAGCATTATGACTGTTTGCTTTAGAGATGAGAACACTAGAAATATATAAGTAACAAAATGACAATAGAATGGGATTAATAGAATAAGCAAGCAGTGGAGCTGTATTTTTTTAGGCTGTTTTTATGGTTTGAGAATTATTGAAAGTTCTTCTAGATATGTGCCAAAGACTGATACTTCATGAATACTATAAATTGTGATACTTAGAAATGGACCTATGTATTATATTCGAATTATAATGTGAAAAAGCTGTTTGGTACACGTTGGTGAAATAGCAAGCCAACAACACAAGTTATTCAATGCACATCTTCCCATTTACATCCTCCCTCCTATCACTCTTGTTTTAAAAAATTAACTACAAAAAAAATGTGCTTCAAACAAGCATAAGGGGTACTTGCCTTACACAAAATGCTTAGTTTAAATGTCAAATAGAAATTTGAACAGAAAATTTGAAAAGCACAGCTCTTTAACTTCATAATCAAAGACAGTAAAGACTAAAGTAAAAAGTGCAGAATTTAGCAGACAATAACCCTGAAGTTTATATACCATTATTCTGACACAGATGAGAAAGATGTTTTGATATATGTAGACATATGTACATTCCTAAAGCTAGGAAATATATAACAAAACATGTGACAGGGTTATCATTCTAGGATGGGACTGTAGCTCTGTAAAGGCAATGGATAAATTGGTAAGGAGAATTTATATATAGAGGACATTTTGTTTTTTATAATATTTTCACTTTAGTATTCAGTTACTTTGAGAATGAAATTTAAAAAAAAATTATTTGAAACTTGAAAATTCTTATTGTTTTAATAACTTCTTCAGAAAGGATGCATTATATTCCGGATCATAGAACAATGTGTAAATACAATTTAATTTATTGAAAATGACAAAGTCAAGTGCTGTGTCAATTGTACAGTTACTATGGCAACATAAACATGAATAAAAAGAGACTTGCAATATATATGTTAATTGGACTCCAATTGGAAGACCTAAATAATCATCCAAAAGTCATACCTAGCAATCAAAATACAGTATTAAAAAAACCCAATTTGATTCAAATATTTGAGAGTTAAAGATACATTACTTATAGTTTTTTGGTAAGGTTAAGTGAAAATCTTACCAAAAGATATATTTCAATTACACCAACATCTTTGTTTTAGACATTTTTAATGAAACATCTTGCTGAATAATACTGTTTCTCATATCTTAAAGAGAATTGAACTTTAGAAGAGAAAGTTTTGTTCCGGCAGATTTCCCTTAATTTCACAAGATTAAAATGTTTTAACTTGAAACAAACTTACACTCTACTGTCTTAGGTTAGGGTGAAGGTTGGCGCCTGTTAAAACATTTAAACCCGCTGCATTTTTATGCACCTGTCCTAGGTCAGGAACTTATTGCTCATTGGTTGTCGTTTGTTGATGTGGTTCATAAGTGTTTCTCTTTTCTCGTTTTTTATATAGATTAGACTGTTGGTTTTCCTATTTGAATTGTTTTACACTAGGCATTTTGGGGCACTTTATAGCTTGCTGTTTCGGTGTGAGCCAAGGCTCCGTGTTGAAGGACGTACTTTGACCTATAATTGTTAACTTTTTATACATTGTGACTTGGATGGAGAGTTGTCTCATTGGCACTCATACCACATCATCTTATTTATAATGTATGATAAATTTGAATATATTTTTATTGATATTTGAAGGACTCAAGTCTTGTGAACTTCTGGGTGTGTTATTTATGAGATTAATCATACTTTGTAATATTAGAATTTAAGGGGTCAAAAAACGACCTCATGAACTATCTCTTATTAAAGATTAATGTCCACTGTTTTTTCTTTCTCTCTTATATCAGCATTGTTATTTTAGTAGAATAATGAGGGGGACAATTAATTATCTATTGCAATATGTGGCCTGAGGGACATTATATAGAATAAAGTCAGAAATATCTAATTGGCTTATGATGACAATAGGTTATGAATTTTTGCACATGATAGTAAATTACAAGTGGAATGTATGTTGATGTTACATTTCATTGAAGTTGATAAGTGGAGTACAAAAACAGTTGTCCAAGAGTAGTTCTTCAAAACTGTAAGATTTTGACATATTTTAGGGAAAAACCAATGACATGATAATTGAGGATTATCTTGCTCAGGATAATCTGATATAACTGTTTCGGTCTGATGCAAAGTTAACAAGAAATCAATCAATGGTTCATGGTCATTTAACTGATATTATGATTTATTGGAAAATGGACAATGTTATATGTTTTCTCATATTTATGATACAAGTCCATAATCCTCTCCTAAAGATGAATCTCGTTCTACTTTCTCATATTTATTTTATAGGTCCAGACTCCTGCTCCAACAGATGAGAATGTAGAAGATGAGAGAATAGAGGCTGATCAACAATTAGATCTTGTAGGAGGAAAAAATCAGGATAAAGATTCTGCAAAAGCTGAGATTCCTCAAGTGAATATTGAGATTGTAGATCAAGATGGTACAACAACAACAACAGACGAAAAGAAAGACGGAGATGGTGAAACCGATGCAAACAAAGAATCTTCAAAAACTCCACGGAAAATGACACCAAAAAAGAAAGAGTTAGAAAAATCAGATTACAAAAAACCTAAAGTTGCATCAAGACTTGCTGATTATATAAACCAACCAGTACCTGAATTAAGTGAAGAAGAAAAACTAGAAAGGGCTAAAAATAGAAAAAATAAATTTCAAAAGAATGTTGTAAAAAAGGTTGAGAAAGAGGATAAAAATACATCTCATTCTGAAGAAAGACATAAAAAGGTTGAAAAAGAACCTCCAAAAATTATAAAACGGACTCCTCCTAAGAGTAAGTGGGATGCCGTAATGAATAAGATTGAAAATAACCAAAGTGCTCCTCCTAAGCCAAAAACAGAGGTGAAAAGTAAACTACAGGAATATCTCAGTGCACCAACTCCAGTAAAGAAAGAAACAGAAATTAAACCTCCAAAAAAAGTTTCAAATATGCCAACGCCTGATTATAGTAAAATAAAAAGTAAACTAAATTTAGCAGCGCCTCCTCCTGCTTCTAAAAAGATAGACAATAAAAAGAAGAGTAAACTACCTGCACCTGGAAATCTTAAACGTCATTCTTCTGTCAGCTCTAATGCTAGTTCTTTAATGAAATTGGATTTAAATGATTCAGTCGGCAGCAGTAGTCAAGTGTTTGGATCGGCCCTTACCTCGGCTAGGAGCAGTTGTTCTGATCTACATAAGGAGGTGTCTCAGGATTCTAAGTCACATGATAGACCTTCAAGTAAGTACCAAGTCACATGATAAACCTTCAAGTAAGTACCAAGTCACATGATAAACCTTCAAGTAAGTACTAAGTCACATGATAAACCTTCATGTAAGCCAAATTTGTATAATTTTCAAAAGAAGCCTCTTTTTATTAAGTGACCAAGCAAGCATTGGTGTTAATATAGATGGTATATCTTAGAGAATCTTTGTCAACTTTTCTCAACTTAAAGCGATTTAGAGCTTGAAATATTTATTTAGACAACATTTAGAAGTTGCAAGTTTTCCGCTAGATATCTTTTCTTTTAGTTTCTGTCTCATTGATGTTTACCCTAAATCTCTTTCTATTCTAATTGCAAGCTTAATAATTTTTTTTCAGTTTAGTACATTCACTCTAAACATAAAAGTTTTGTTAAGTAAAAAAATACTAAATGCAAGTATATTATACCAGGATGCAGTTATCGTGAAACAATTCTCTGTGATTTATAGTCGAGTTACAATAATTTTTCTACAGAATTACAGCTAGTGTTGGCAACAAACCTATATCAATATTTGTATGTGATATAATAACTGATACTTCTCCTTACTGCAATACAAAAGTAATAATGTGTTAATGGGGGTCCTTCACATCAAACGTTTTTTTTTTTACATTGATAGAAGGAAAGTTTGTTTTTATTGTTATGATCATCATGAAATAATATCATAATTAATATTGTGGAATTTAATGATAATAACATCTCTTGAGTACAGAAAAAGTAATTTTTACTGAGAGGAAATTGTTGAATTGAGCTGTTGAAAAAATAGTTTATTTATCATGTTTATGTTAAGTTAATGATGAAGACATTCAATGTTTTCCTTTTTATTTAATTTCCATCTTTATTAAACATGATTTTGTACATGCAATCGGCCAGAATATTTTCTTGCTTCTGTTTGCCCATAAACCTACCAACCCTAATTTTCAGTGCCTAGCCTTCAAGGTTTTGTTGATTTTGAAAAAGCATTATTAAAGAGTGTTTCCCCTGTTTAAACCAGTGAAATTCTTTTTTAAATGAAACTTAATTTGCATACCTACCAACCCTAAAAAAAAATTTCAGCATGTTATTATAAACACAGGTATAATTTTTTAGGCATAACTTGAAGTTGATAAGTAAATTATGGATATAAAACTAGAAAAAAAATAGGTGGCTCAGAATATTTCAATACAATTCCTCATAGATTAATCATAGGTTCCTCTGATCGTGTCTATAATAGGTCCCGATTTTATGTGTTGTTTCTGTGTCACGTTCCTCTGATCGGGTCTATAATAGATCCTGATTTTATGTGTTGTTTCTGTGTCACGTTCCTCTGATCGGGTCTATAATAGATCCTGATTTTATGTGTTGTTTCTGTGTCACGTTCCTCTGATCGGGTCTATAATAGATCTCTGATTTTATGTGTTGTTTCTGTGTCAGGTTCCACTGATCGGGTCTATAATAGATCCCTGATTTTATGTGTTGTTTCTGTGTCACGTTCCTCTGATCGGGTCTATAATCAGATCCCTGATTTTATGTGTTGTTTCTGTGTTACGTTCCTCTGATCGGGTCTATAACAGATCCTGATTTTATGTGTTGTTTCTGTGTCACGTTCCTCTGATCAGGTCTATAACAGATCCTGATTTTATGTGTTGTTTCTGTGTCACGTTCCTCTGATCGCTTCTATAATAGATCCCTGATTTTATGTGTTGTTTCTGTGTCACGTTCCTCTGATCGGGTCTATAATAGATCCTGATTTTATGTGTTGTTTCTGTGTCACGTTCCTCTGATCGGGTCTATAGCAGATCCTGATGTTATGTGTTGTTTCTGTGTCACGTTCCTCTGATCGGGTCTATAATAGATCCCTGATTTTATGTGTTGTTTCTGTGTCAGGTTCCTCTGATCGGGTCTATAATAGATCCCTGATTTTATGTGTTGTTTCTGTGTCAGGTTCCTCTGATCGGGTCTATAATAGATCCCTGATTTTATGTGTTGTTTCTGTGTCAGGTTCCTCTGATCGGGTCTATAATAGATCTCTGATTTTATGTGTTGTTTCTGTGTCACGTTCCTCTGATTGTGTCTTTAATAGATCCCTGATTTTATGTGTTGTTTCTGTGTCACGTTCCTCTGATCGGGTCTATAATAGATCCCTGATTTTATGTGTTGTTTCTGTGTCAGGTTCCTCTGTTTGGGTCTATAATAGATCCCTGATTTTATGTGTTGTTTCTGTGTCACATTCCTCTGATCGGGTCTATAATAGATCCCTGATTTTATGTGTTGTTTCTGTGTCACGTTCCTCTGATCGGGTCTATAATAGATCCCTGATTTTATGTGTTGTTTCTGTGTCATGTTTCTCTGATCGGGTCTAACATAGATCCCTGATTTTATGTGTTGTTTCTGTGTCACGTTCCTCTGATCGGGTCTATAATAGATCTCTGATTTTATGTGTTGTTTCTGTGTCACGTTCCTCTGATCGGGTCTATAATAGATCCCTGATCTTATGTGTTGTTTCTGTGTCACGTTCCTCTGATCGGGTCTATAATAGATCCTGATTTTATGTGTTGTTTCTGTGTCACGTTCCTCTGATTGGGTCTATAATAGATCCCTGATTTTATGTGTTGTTTCTGTGTCACGTTCCTCTGATCGGGTCTATAATAGATCCCTGATTTTATTTGTTATTTCTGTGTCACGTTCCTCTGATCGGGTCTATAATAGATCCCTGATTTTATGTGTTGTTTCTGTGTCACGTTCCTCTGATCGGGTCGTTAATAGATCCCTGATTTTATGTGTGTTGTTTCTGTGTCACGTTCCTCTGATTGGAGCTATAATAGATCCCTGATTTTATGTGTTGTTTCTGTGTCATGGTGGTCTGTATTGATTGTTGTATCAACTTGATGAATAATGAATAAATATGTAGGAAAACACAAAACATGATATTCTTCCAAGTGAATGCACTCAGGCTCAGCTAGTTTGGTATTGATCATACAATCTTTGGCTATTATATTAAAGGTTAAAAGAGAAATATATTATAGTTTTCAATCATCTGTTTTATCACTGAAGAGAATGATTGTTTATGGAAAACATAATTGAATTGGAAAGCTATAATTAATAATGCATTGTTTATCTATATAAGTATCCATTAAGGGCTTAAAAATCAATATAAAAAAAGAAAACTTGTAGACCATTAATAAACTGAATTTTATAATAGCAGTATTAAAACTGTTTAAACAAATTCATACCACCATCCAGAAAAGAAAATAAAATACACATAAATGTATAAAACCCATTTTAGCCAATTTAACGCTCATTGAGATCAAGAGAAATAACAATTGAAAGTATTTGTTATAAAGTGTAGAAATAGATGAAAATATTGACTTAAAAAATTTGCAGTTATTTCCCCTTAATTGTAAACTTTCCAGGAATATTCATATAGGGAGTATTGGGAATGAGCTTGTCATGGAGACTGGATCAAAACAGATCAATATTGTTTTAGAAATTGACATTGGTTTAGGCTATATTTGATTACTGGACAATTACATGATATTTATCTTTTAGCAGTCACTGATTAAATTGTTTGATAAATATGAATGACCAATTACTGTGTTCACTACCCTAGTATTTCACAAGTTGTAGGCGAAGTAAAGTTTTAATGACATAAATTATGTTTATATTAATTTTGAATCAATAAATGTGATTAATTATTAAGTAGTTTGACCTGTTTTCGTAAATCTAGTAAAGAAAACAGTGATTAATGAAAAAAGACAAACTGTGGTATTAGGAACTTTATAATCAGTTGTTGACATCATCTCAGAAATAAATAGGGACTAAAAATGTTCAAATTCTTTCACAAAAAACTGCAAAGAAAATTTAGTTTGGATTCTTCATGGACTCGGAATCGTTGTGCTGTTTACCCAGGTAAGAACCTATATATCGATGATTTTGTTTCTCGGAAGGATGTCCATGTTAGACATATTGATCAGTGATTAATACAATTAAAAGTGAACATAATAGACATATTGACTGATTGGTTTCTATCTGAGGACAATATTCTGATATCAGGATATGTTAGAAGAGTTTTATTAATCAATGTTTGAGGGGATTGGTGGTAGTGTTATCATCAGATCTATCAAATTATAAAGTAAAAGTTAAAAACTAATAGATTTTAAAAGATAATTACAATAAACTACCAATTCTTATTTAAATTGAAAACTGCTCTTTTTGTTTATTTCATCCAGAGTGTGTAAAAGTTGTGAATATTATCAAAGACTATCAAAGATCTTCCATCAATACCCAATTCTCTAAATAACAAAAAACATTAAGTTAAACATATAACTACTGACCACTTATATAGCCAACATATATTTGAACTTTGTGTTCGACTCTAAATCTTAATTTTACAGACGCCATCATGAGTTGGTTGACCGTTATGGAATATCCGTTTCACATATGATAGCAGATATGTTCCTAACTGCAATCCTGTTCCCTTTTCACGAATATGACCTACTGAATTAGACTATTTACCAGGTTTGTACTAACAAGAGCTACACGACGGGTGCCACGTGTAGAGCAGGATCTGCTTACCCTTCCGGAGCACCTGAGATCACCCCCAGTTTTTGGTGGGGTTCGTGTTGCTTAGTCTTTAGTTTTCTATGTTGTGTTTTGTGTACTATTGTTTGTCTGTTTGTCTTTTTCTTTTTTAGCCATGGCGTTGTCAGTTTATTTTCGATTTATGAGTTTGAATTTCCCTCTGGTATCTTTCGCCCCTCTTTTAATTGACAAGGATTCCCAGTTTTCCTGCCAAAGATCGTGGTTCTTCCTGGGTAATCCTGCTTACCATCAATATATATATATGTTTGCCACAAAATAGCCAATAGTGCTGAAAGTGGTGTTCAACAACAAAAATCAGTCAATCAAATATCTGAACTTCATGATACTAGAGTTTATTCTGTCTAAAGTTATAATGGAGTTAAATTGTTTGATCAATTTCTATGTACAGTAAGTATTTGTCTTTTTTTCAGATCCATCAGTTGGACGGTTATCAATGCCTGGTAAAAGAGAAAGACGAGATAGTACTTCCAGCACTATTTCTAATATATCTCAGGTAATTTCGCAGTACACAAATTGCACAGAGTACCAATTTGCACCCATTTTGTAAAAAAACAACATAATCTTATAGGTTTTTTTTTAGAGACTAATTGATTTGTATTGTAGCTATCATTTGTCTTTATGCTTTTCTTTTAGCATTGCTAAATATACTAAAATATACATACAAAATGGTCACATTATACATGTTATATTTCAACAGATGAAATCCCGAGTTAAAAAAGTAAAATTTACCGAAACATAAGTTTAACAAAAAGTCAACTTTAAAAATGAGCAATTGCATATGTGATGGGCATCCATTTCTTACAAAATGCATTATAAGCATGGACTTTTGTCAAATTGTACTACTAAAAATAAAACAAAACATCAGTTATTTGATTTTTATGAATGTTGTAATTTATGTACTCATTACATAATCTTTTATTTTTTGGAGGTCAGTTCAAATCCATTTTACAATGATTCAGTATAGATTCAAAATCAAATTTGTGAAATTATATAGTAAATAAAGAAACATGTACAAAGTAAACACAGAATGGAAAATTTTGTCTGTTTCTTAATCAAACAAAGGTGAAAAAATTAGGTGCAATTTGGGAAACTCTCTTTTAACCACAAAAAGTAAAATGTGCTAATATATCTTGTAGAATATATGAACTCTAGAAAGGATCCAGAGGGCAAAGTCATAAATCTCTCTATGCAACACAAATGCTTAGAAAAAAATACAAATTAACACAACATATTCAGTCAAAATACTTACAATATTCTAATCTCCAAGAATTTACTTGTACTATTTCACATAAAATGTTGCTATAATGATAGTATGAATAAAAGGAATGTGTTGTAAATATCAATGAGTCAGTAAGCCAACAATACATTTTTACCAAAATAGACATCTAGAGGTCACAGCTTTCAATGAGACAAGTTTTCTGTACCATATTCCATGGATTAAAATGACTGAAATCTTTAGCATGGTTTTAAGTTTAAAAAAACCTTAATAAATTGAAAACTTTCCAAGGGGAAAAAGTTCAAGAGATATGTGCACCTTATTTGTAGGGATCATCATCACGAGCTGTGACAGACAGAAGTAACAAGGTTGGAGAAAGAGTGAGTCTGAGGAGGCAGTCTATGCCAGTCAAGAGTAGTATACCACCTCCAACTGACTGTAAGTCTGGGTGTCGTAAGAATTATCACATTCATTATGATCTAAATTAAATGGGCCTTTTTAGATTAATCTCTAAACACACACAAAAGAGATTGATATTGATATAGTGAAACATTAATTTTACTCTTGACATGAAATTTTTGAAAATTGTCTCCTGTCCATTTTGACACTCTTATCCACTTTATGGTGAAGGAAAAATATGCAAATATACACATTGGAATGGCACATTTTCCTCAGTTTATGGGAATTGTACGTCTTGTTGACCATAAATGTATTTAGCAATGAAAGCATAATTGAATTGGCAAGGAATTAGATTTCATCCATCTAACATTGTATGGGAGATAACTCTAACTGTACTAAAATCACTCCTCACACCAGAATGGAAAATCACTTGGTGATACTGCTTGGTCAATTTTTTTTTTGCACAATCTGTTTATGTTGATTTTCAGTTTTGAAATCATTATCTTAATATCATTATTTTTTTTTGTTTTGTTTACACAACATTGTTTTGAGATAACAAAGGGAGATGACTAATGTCATGCATTCAAAAGTGGCAATTTTTTTTTCAATGATAAATTATGGAAACTAAAAAATTATCTACTGCAACTTTTTTATGTTGATGTTTTAGTTGTGGAGGGTTTTATTTTAGTAAGTAAGTAAATTATAGTTGGCATATATGTACAGTACTATATACTAACAGAGAAAACATGAGCTCTGATGAGCTCTTTAACCGACTTTAAATAGATTTTGCCACTTTTAATGGATAAGACTGTGATCTCTCTACCTATCTGTACACTAACCACTAACCATGACATTTTATTAACAGTACCCAGGAAATCATCTGTGGCCTCTAGAATTAACACAGGGACTAACAAAGTTAACAAAACACTTGCCACCATCAAAGATTTACCATCACCAACAAAGAGAGACACCAGTAAGTGCATGTGGGGATTTTATTGGGGGGGAGGGGGATACCAGCCAGGCATTCGGTCATGTGAAAATTGGTAACCAAAAATGATTCCCAGATCTCTACCCTTATAACAGGCAATTATGTTTTATAACAATACTAATATGTTCAAATACTCTATCAGATCTTTCAGAAAGAAACAAAAACCAGGGGTGTAATTTTAATTTAAGATTTTGATCATTTCATGCTGAAAGTTAACGAAGAAGGAAAAAGATGACTCTGTAGAGTGTTAATCATCAGTCTAATGTGTTAGCATGAATTATTATTTGTTTTTAAAATATCCAAAATTAACTATTAATGAATATCAAAAGCACATTGTGCAGTGGAAACTTAATTAGATTTTAAAATGATAGCATTACTTTTAGTTAACATCAAACTTTTACTTAATGGGATTTTTATCAGTAAAATATGGAAATTTAAAAAGCACTTAAAAGAAATGATATTTTTACACATCTTTGATTGGATTTGAAACCATGCTAGTAGATGTATGTATACTGTAGATGATAATTGGTTAACAAAAATAAATCATAAAGTAGATGCTAAATCGGGAAATAAAACCCCTCTTATAGCATCCATCAATATATTTGATAGATTCCTGATAAATATGTCTAGGAGAGACAAACATCTAATGGTTTGTTTACAGTGAATCTATAACATGAAGAGATGTAGAATTTACTTGTCTGAAAATAATTTCTTCAAGTGCCCTTAATTGGAACAATAGATATTTGTATTCTTATTCTATGCTTTCGAGGGGGGGGGGGGTCGTAATATATTGGAAGAATTTATTAAAAATTGAGAATTAACAGCTATAATGATGAATACAGTGAGTTATCTGATGTATAATTTGTCAGAATTTTACTGGTTTTACAGAGATAAGTGTAAAGTAATAATTCTCCAAATACTGCCTCAGCAAAACATAACACGAAAAATCTTAATGGAGTTTGACTTAATGTTCTTTGTTGTGCGAGGGTTAACACATTTAGTCCATTACCACTAGATCCATGTGTTTATCTCAGACATGAGGTATTCATTTCATGCTTAATAGACTTACAGTATAAATAAAGAATTACCTTGGCTTGATTACAATTTAATACCTAGCTTCCCTGATCAAATTAACAGATAAATTAGAATTTAATTTCATTACTTGAAACTTACCAACTCTTATGTGCCTAGGCAATTATATAATTAAGTGTTTAGAAATAAGATCCAGGTGGATACAAAATATATAAAATTATTATGCAATTATTGTTAATGTTATGTAAGACACATGATGTGTTAGGCTCTGATCCTGTCCAATATATGATAGTATTATATTAGGATATAGTTTTTCTTTTTTCCAATCATATTGTGCTTAATATTGTTGTAAATGATGCCCTTTATGGGTTCTTGATTAGATTAATAAAATTCTTATCTTAAATTCTTATCTTATTACTTTATCAGCTCCTTTCAAGATGTGTTAACATATTAGCTTCAATGTTTTACCAATAATTAATGTTGTTTTATATAGCTATTGACAAGTCTGAAAGTAACTAATAGTTTAAAATATATCTTTAAGCTTCATTAGCCCAGTAATCAATGCTTGCTTTCTTTCTGGCATGATTTATAACATACATTTCTTTTAAAAAAATTTGTTGATAAATAAAAAATAATTCAGAAACTAGGTTTCTATCTCCATCAAGCAGTTTACTGTAGATGGTTCTGGCCCTTCTTCTTTTGGTCATATAGCTTTTCAAGTGTCTGTACATTCTAATGACTTTCAATTTTTTGGGTTTGAGAAATTTACTGGTGAAGTTAAAATAAGAAAAGTGCTTTAGACACAAAATCTTCATAGAAAATGACAGTTTTCCATCAGACAGAAGGATAAAGCCTAACAGGGTTTACAGAAAAGAGACAATGATGTATATCCTTCACAATTTTAACTCTTTTTTGAAATGTTCTGGGTTGAAACTCCATTTAAATCACTGAATCTGTTTTCTAACACTCTGATTTGAAGCAGTTTATATAAAACAGTAGAATGGTATTCTATGAGAAATGGGTGGAAACCTTTACATTAATGATAAAACTTAGGTTATGTAAGATAAAAGGATAATTATTTCTGACAAAATTACTGCTGTATAGTGTAAACTAATGTTCTGAAGAGAAAAATACTGCAGACTCTTGATAGTAACTAATTATAAATAGTTATAGAAGTGCAGGTTCTCACAAATAGTTTTGTCAGTAATAATTTGGATATGTCAGATTTGCATATTGTTTCTTATTCTGATAATTTTGAGCAATATTTACTTGTTCCACACACATTTCTCCTGGTTTGTTACAAGAAAGTACCAAAAATATCTAGTTTTTCTTGAAGTTCGAAGCCTGACGAGAATCTGAAACAAACACATTATCAATGAATACATGGTGATTTCCTCTTTTATTTCAAAGAGGAGTCCAAAGATTTTGACCACCAAATTTTGCAAAGGACCAACAAAGTTTTGGTATTTTGCAATAGGAATAATAGTGAGGACCATAAAATTTTCTTCAAGGACCACCAGGGAAAAATTTTTTTGAGAACTGTTCAAAGAATTTAAGATCTTGGTTTTCATTGTTAACAGTGTTTAGATTGACTTTATAAGTTCTAAACCGATAATTAAAATGATAGTCACATCATCCAAAATCATAATCACTTTGGTAAAATTGATTGACCATTTGTAATCATAGGTCATATAAATGATGAAATATTGCATTACACCATCCATGTCAGTTTCAAGTAAAATTTCAGAAGGTCATTTATTTTTCATTGACTTTGAATGTTTAGAAATGACTTCTCATAAAATATTATAAAGTTTGGTATGCTGTTGCATATATGACAGGACAACCATTTATTTTGATGTAGAGTAGAATATATTTGTATAAGGTTCCACACTTTAAGTCTTGTTTTTAATGTCATCGTAAATTTTATATTGGTTGTAAGGAACCTTTATGTAGAAGTACTCACACTTGATAAAAACATTAGACCATTGATATTAGCTGCTAACAGAACCACACCTCTATCTTTCTTCATTGAATAAAACTTTTAAAAATCATATGCTTTTAATGAATAACTTTTGACAGACCATTGATATTTGAAATGATGCTCATTTATCATCTATTGATCATCCCATATAAGAACATTTTAGCCATCATATTAAGGATTTGTAGTAGAGAAAGAAATATTTGGTGCTTGTACTATGATTTAGAGACCAACACTATAGATACTAAGATGACCTAGTGAAAATATTAGTCTGGCAGAATAGAATCATTCCTGTTTGGATATGAACAAAATGAAGGCTGAAAAACGATATCATGACTCAAAGTAATTTTACCTTTAAATTTTTTGGTCATCTTTGCTACTAAAGTTTTACTATTCAAAACCAATCAGATCAGTAATTGAATGACATATTGACTTAAATAGTAATTTGTTATTTTTTCCTTTGTTGTGCTACAAAATGCTTGGTCATTATTTTGACTGTATTTGTTGAATGATCTTTTACTGTGTGTAATATCTCCATTGTCACACCCAAACCACAAACCGTTTTATTTGTATGGATAACTTTATCAAACATTTCACCTCTTTAAAATCATAAACTTTAAACTGTCAAAAGTTCTTTTGAATAGAATATGTTGGTAGATCCGTATTTGATACTTCTTATGTTAGTACCGGTAAAGTGGGTATTTAAACGTACTCAAATCTGTATCTATAGCCTTACAGGCCTTTTGTCACCGGTCAAAAGAGGATAGATTAGATAAAACACAATAAAACAGAAAAGTAATCCCATATGACATAAACAATACAAGGCTAATTACATAACAACAGTATTTATCCTTTCTTTGTCTCCTTTATTTAAATCTTTTTTTTATAATATATAATTTTGTTTATAAACATCTTGCCTCAGTGCTTCTGTATAGCATGGTAAAGATCATTTCACTCCTCAGTAAAGTTAAGATTTATATCAATGTCTCACACAGATGATATTATTTCTTTGTGTATCCCATGTGTTTTAAGAGTAAGATCATATATGGAGGGATATGGTGCCATCAGGTTGTCTATGATTATTTTACTTTTCTTTCCGGATGCTATGTCATGATTCAGTTGGTCCATTTTTGGTCCAAGATTTTTTCAAGGATAAATTTTCCATTGTTACATCTTGATGAAGGTATGTTTATGTATTTACAATATGTGGCTACATTTTATTGTAATTGTAAAATTGATAATAATGTTAATTCCCCTACACAGTCCAGACAATTAGCAAAGATGAGTAAGTAAATGTAGCATTCAAGTTCTTGTATACTTACAAATGCATTACCCCTGTCCATCTATCCAATTGTCCTGTGAAAGTTTTGTCGCATTTTCTGAAGAACTTCAGATCAGAGCTTCCTAAAATTTTTTAGCAAGCATATTGTGAGCATGCTAAACAATATGATTCAACATTTATCTCTCATCAACTATCTTTGTTCATGGAATACTTAAACATGTATATTCTTAAAAATTATGGCCATGCTAGTGAGAGATTGCTCTGATGTCTGACAGCCTTTCCTAGACTTGCTCAGAGACAGTTCAACCCAAACAAATCCCAAGAAGGCTGTCAGATGTCAGAGCAATCTCTTACTATGGCCAAGAATGAAAATTTTGATGAATTTTTCACAGAAACTACTCATCAGATCTTCCTGAAATTTGGTATAAAGCTTCATGTGAGCATGCTTTATCATGTGATGCTTTTCACATTCATAGCTCATCAACTTTCTTTGCTTACCAAATACTTATCACCCCCAGTTTTTTTATTGGAATTCTTGTTGCTAATTCTTTAGTTTTCTATGTTGTGTTTTGTATTCTGTTGTTTGTCTTTTGGTCATTTTTCCTTTTTTGCCATGGCATTGTCAGTTCATTTTCATCTTATGAGTTTGAATATCCTTTTGCTATCTTTTGCATCAATTTTATACATATGTTC